AGACATGATCTTCACACAGTTGTCATAGGTGAAAGATGACAGGAAGACTAGCAGAGTAGTGAAAGAGATCACTTACATAACATTATTAACATTGCAACTCAACAAGAATCTTAAGCACACTTCTTGTCATAGAACGGTGAAAAAGCTGTTGATTCTTGTGGCAAGAAAAGAAACTGGATCACATGAGCAAATCAGGCAAATGTGATATCTGATATCCTGATTCAAGACCAGCCCTCCCCCGATTCAGTGTGTGAGACCTTCATTTCTTGCCTCTTTAGCAAGCTCAGCCGGCACGCGTCCCAGATGTTGTTTGGTGTATTTTCCTCTTAAACACTCGTAAATAATAGTTGTTTTTCTTTATGGGCACCAATTATTTAATGGGCACACACACATGATTGCCCTTGGTGATCAGGTGTTAAGTTTTTAAGGAGGTCAATTTGACCAGGTTTTCTCTTTCACGTATGTAGACACATCAACAGGCGAAGACAGTTCACAGAGTGACCATCCAGATGCTGAACGAAGCAGGATTGCAGGTACTATTTTAGGGGCAATAGTTCTGGATTGAGCATGGTAACTGTGAAGCATGCTGGNAAGTGAAACATGTGCTCAGCAGTTCAAAGGGAAAACAAAAATTGAGAGTGGTGACAATCAGCTTGTAAAACCAATGATCCTCAAAGCTTTGTGTACTTTTTTGTTCCCTATGTTAAGATTGATATTTCTGGCCAATTGGTTTAAACAAAGTTTAACTTGCACTTACAAGCACTGCTATACCATCACACTGTAGTAAAATGGAAGTGTGGAAAACTGCAAAGTCCTTATATAAAACCGTGTGTCACACACAAGGGTTTACATATTTGTACCACTGAGAGAATCCGAGTTTCTCTGGACATCCTACATTATCCCCGCAGTTTCAACTGGTGTAAAAAATGTAGTAGTGTATTTGTAAAGTTTTCTTTTTAAATCTTAATAGCAAATTTGTTGTTGCAAATAACAGTTATTTTTCTTTATGAGCACCAATTATTTAATGGGCACACTCCCAGGATTGCCCTTGGTGATCAGGTGTTAAGTTTTTAAGAAGATCAATTTGACCAGGTTTTCTCTTTCACGTATGTAGACACATCAGGCGAAGACAGTTCACAGAGTGACCATCCAGATGCTGAACGAAGCAGGACTGCAGGTACTATTTTAGGGGCAATAGTTCTGGATTGAGCATGGTAACTGTGAAGCATGCTGGGAGTTCGTCACAGGCTCAGTAAAATGTTGTGTTGTTGGTCAAGAAAGTTAACTACTATGTTGTGCTTTAAAACTTACTTGATGGGCAGCTACCTCAAACATATCAAATACAACTCATAAATATCTGAGCTGTTTGTGGTTATAGCTGTTTGTTGATTGTGAACGTGCAAAAAAATGCTTTTTTGTCATCCATACTGCAAAACAGCTTGAAAGAGGTAATAAATTACAAATGATGAAAAAATGAAAACGTAGAGGTGAAACTCTAGAGTCAGTGTAGCCTTCTACACAGATGTTTAGAGGTGCAAGTCAAGGAAAGTAACTTCACTAATAAATGAAAAAACAATCTCAGTTAAGTTGTCAAGTTTTT